CGGCTGCTGGACCCGAGCCCGCGGAGCGCGGAGAGCTCAGTCACGCCGCCCCACCAACTGCTGGACTTGCTGGGGATCTTCCCACAGTTTCCCCTCCCGGGCCTGCCGACCCGGCGGTGGCCGTGCCCCCTGCGGAGGGTGCCGGAGCCGCAGAGCCCAAGGCCGCGCCCGCCCGGCAGCAAAAACAAGCCCAAGCCGCCGCCAGCAACCGTCCGAAGCGGTGAACCGTTACCGCAGGCTCCAGTGGCTCCGGAGCCGGAGCAGCAGCCCCAGCAGCCGGAGCAGCCGCGCCGCCCTGTCCACCTGACACCGGCGCAAATGCGGAGGGTGCGCCAGATCAGCCGCCAAAACCGCTTCGAGCAGCTGGCCGTGGCGGCCAGCATGGATGTCTAAAGGAACCATGATGCCCCTGGAGCGGCGGAACGAGCCGCAGATGCTTCGCAGCTTCTGGAAGCAGTACCCCTCCTACAGGGCGCAGCCGCTGCTCTACAACGAGCTAGAAGCCCGCGCTTTCAACAAGTGGTTGGAGAGCCGGCGGCTGCGCAAGGAGGGCGAGGAGTACACCGACGCCGTGGGCCGGCTGACAGACACCGTCAACCGCCGCCTGCCGCAGCTGAGGTACGCCCCCGCTGAACGGGCCGGCGTGCGCCGCGCCGCACAGGACGTGGCCTCAGGACGGAACACCCAGGAGTCGGGCATCGTGGGCGGCGTCATGTAACAAAGCCATGGAGGAGAGGCGCCAGTACGGCTTCAGGGTGCGCCCCAACTACGGGCAGGTGCTTGGCTATATTCAGGAAGGGGAGCCCATCACGTTGGAGCTGCCAAAGCGCAATGCTTCGGTCTACATGGCCAGCCACTTCTTCCTTGACGATTTTCCCCAGAGCTCGGAGGCCCTGAGCGACCAACCCATGCCCCACACCCACGTCAACCCCGCGGAGGCCTTCGAGGCCGATGACGAGGGCTACCGCGGCCAGCCCTTCCCGCGGCCGCCTAGGGAGATGCTTCGGCAGCGCAGCTTCTTCTCCGACAGCAGCAGCGACTTCGGGGGCGTGGACCCTGCGCAGGCGCTGCGCATGGACGGCTTCGACGCGCCGCAGCCGCCGACCTTCAACAACCGCCTGCGCGAGTCGGGCATCCAGGCGGCCGAGACGGCCATCGCCGGCATCGGCCTCGGCGCACGGCAGTTCGTCAAGGGAGCCACAATCCGCGGCCTGGGCCGCGGCGAGCAGTGGCTGGACAGGACGCTTCGCATTCCTAGGACGCCGGAGGGGCTGGCGCCGCCGCCGGACGAGGTGGCGCCGCCGCAGATCATCGGCAGGTGGAGCCGCTGCTGGAGCGCGCCGGGCAGAGAGCGGCGCTGCAGGAGGTCAGGGCTATGCAGGACATAGAGGCCTTCACCCAGGGCCAGATCCTTCGCCACCTCTTCCGACCTGACGGCCGCGGAGACCAGCCTCCAGAGTGCCATCGACGCGATCCTGGCCCAGCTGGCTGCATTGACCAGGCACGGGGCAGCAATTTGATCAATGCCCAGGCCTGGTCGGGGGAAATCACCTGGGACCTGCTGCTGGGCACCAACACACTAAGGAACCTCCACTTCAACGTGCCGCTGAGCGTCAGCCTCCAGAACGACAATTTTACGCTGAGCCTGGCCTGCGACAGCTACAGCGTGGCCGAGGCCGACGCGGCCGTCGCAGCAGCCATCGCGACCGCCCTGGCGCCCTTCAAGACGGCGGCCCAGCGCGACGCGGCGATCGCCGCGGCCCTGACGGCCTACAGCACTACCGCGCAGATGGACGCCGCGATCGCGGCCGCCGTGGCCGCCATTGACCTCAGCCCGTATTACACCAGCGCCCAGACCGACGTGGCCATCACGGCCGCCTTGGTGCCGGTGACCCCGGCCAACGCCCCCGCGTGGGGCGCGAACCCGCCCACCTGGGAGCTGCTGAAGGGCACGAACGTGCTCCGGAATCTGCACTTCGCGGGCCCCCTGAGCGCCAGCCTCCAGAACAACACCGACACCCTGGAGATCGACTGCGACAGCTACGAGAAGGTTGAGACCTATACCCAGGCCGAGGTCAACAGCTTGGTCTCCGGTGCCGTGGACGCGCTGAACATCGGCCAGTACCAAACCTCGGCGCAGGTCTACGGCCATTTCGGGGGCGCTGGTGCCCTATTATACGGCCGCGGAGGTGGACACGGCCATCGCGGGCCAGAGTGGACCTCAGCGATTATTACACCAGAACCCAGAGCGACTCCAGGTATTTCCCGACCAACGCGAACCCCGGCAATACCGAAGTGTTCACCCTGGTCCGCGACAGCGTTTCCATCCCGAGGCAAATCAGGGGCATCCTACCCAGGGCGCCGCTGGCCTGGAGCTACCTCTTCTCCGGCACGCCTACTCCAAGGCGGAGGCGGACGGGCGCTACCTGAGCTCCACGGGCTACACCGGCACCTTGAACGGGCGGTACCTGGTCACCAACGCGACCACCGGCAACGCGGAGACTTTTCCAGCGGCGGTGTGCCCGACCCCGTGGTGACGGGCGCCGCACGCGGCTCAGGCACCGCGCTGACGCTGCGCGCTGGCAGCACCAACGTTCGCATAGAGGCCCAGAACACCACCACCCCTGGCCAACTTCGGCCTTGTAGAAAACTTCCTGGGCGACACCCCGCGGCTTAGGGTGGACGAGGAGCTGTACATCGACGACGTCTCCGGCACGGCCACGGGCCTGCTGACCAACGCCGTCTCGGCGAGGCCAGAGACAACCTGCTGACCATTTCGGGGGCGTTGCTGGCCACGGACGCCGGGCAGATCTACCTGAGCCTGGTACCAGAGTGATGGACGGCTCCAACAACGAGCTGTTGAACACGGCGAGCAGCGGCGTGGCGCGCCTGCAGCTGGACGCCAACAACTCCACGGGCTTCGCGCGGCTGGAGGTGGACGGCGCCGGCTGCTGCAGCCTGACCGCGCCGGGGCAGCAAATCTCGCTGCAGAACCAGGTACTCGGAAACGTCCCATTCGCAGACGTCCGCGGTGATGCTGGCCCCTGCCGCGGGGTCCAAATCGAGGCTAGTCTTGAGAATTCTGGAACTCATCGACCAACTGCAGCCAAGGCACTGGGCGCTCGAGAATCCGGGCACCGGACTCCTCAAAAAAAAGGGGAATACATGCAGAAGCTGCCTTACGTGGAAGTGACCTATTGTTCCTACGGCTACAGCCACCGGAAGCTCACAAACGAGGATCTGGACCGACCTGCAAGCAGTCTAAGTGCATGAAGGGAAGCCGCTGCACGGCCTTCGATGGCAAGGGGCTCCAGGCGCGGGCCAGGCCAAGAGGACCCTCCACTCCATTCCGCCCTGCTCTGCATGGAAATCGCCAACACCGTCACTCAAGCCCTTTTTCTGCCGCAGGATCACTCTCCGGCGACCTCCCTCAAGGCCCACCAGTTCGCCGGCAGCCCCAGCTGGCGCAGCGAGTCGCCGGGCACCTCACGCAGCGGCCTGCGGGTAGAGGGCGTGGCCCTCCTCGTCGACCTCC